AAAGGAAATTATTGCGGTTTTTATGGATCAATTTGTAATCATCATTCATCATTATATTCACCTATCTAGATTCATTTTTTTTGGTTTTATGAGTATTCAAGAGTTTTTTCCAAAGGTTTGATAAACAAAAGTTGAAAAAGTAAAAAAGCATCAGTTCTTGAAAAAAGAAATAGACTCAAGGAAATATAAATCATTTGACTCACATAAACATTTATTGACAAAAGATAATGGTGATCAAAAATCATTGGTTTCAAGCACACCAAGCTCTACAATCTTGAAACATCTTAAACCAAGGACCAACTCTACCAAGTTGATCTTTAACCTCATCAGAAATCCAAGAATTAGATTCCGTAGTAATAACACGTTCAGGATGAGGCATAAGAGCTAAGATTCGACCATCAGCTGCATGAAATCCTGTGATACCATGAAGACTACCGTTTGGATTAGATGGATAAGATTCTGTTGGTTGAGAGTCAATTCGATTTATATATTGTAGTGCTGGTTGTAAACTTGAAGTACCTTCTAGATGACTGAAATCTACTCTGCCTTCTCCATGTGAAACTGCAATTGGAAGACTAGAACCTTGCAAGTTTCGTAAAAAGACCGATTTGGAATTAAGTTCATTAAAAGGTATATTTACCATTGATACTCTTGCTTCAAATCTTCCACTCTTGTTTCGTTTCATTTTCGGCCAAACTTGATCAATTGATTTTTCTGAATCAGAATTCTTTGGTAATATTTCAACAAGATTTGTTAACATTTGACATCCATTACAAACTCCTAATGTAAAGGTTTCAGGTCTGTCAAAAAATTTAGCGAACTCTTTCTTGGTTTCATTGTGAAGGATAATTGACTTTGACCATCCGCTACCTGATCCTAATACATCGCCATAACTAAACCCACCAACAGCTACTAAACCACGAAAGACGCTCAAATCAACTCTTCCACCAATGATATCAGTCATATGAAGATCGATAGCATTGAAACCAGCAGCAGTGAAGGCATAAGCCATCTCGAGATGTCCATTTACACCCTGATCTCTCAAGATCGCAACCTTTGGACGATCATTCAAAGAGCTCTTTGATAGATCAAATGAAAATGATGATGGAAGCGAGTAAAACAATCCTCGATCTTCAAGATTGGCGATTTGGTCAAATTCTTCTTTGGCACATTCTGGATTATCTCGAATAGATTGCATTTGGTAGGAAGTTTCTGACCAGATTGATTGAAGCCTAGAACGTGTCGATGTCCAAATCTGTTTACCGTCTTGACTTTGATGAATAGAAATGATCTGATCAGTTCCAGTTGTTGGCTCCAAGACTTGACCGATAACCTTCAAGCAGGATGAGGGAAGACCAGCTTTGAGGAATTCCTCGGTCACATCTGTGATAGATGACTCCAAGCATTGAAAGACACAGCCTGCCTCCTCACAGAAAAGCTGTTCGAGGACTTCTTGAGGATCTTGTGATGTGTCAAGCGCAAGGTTAATCCCCAGTCTACCAGCAAAGCTCATCTCAAGACAGGTGGTCAACAAGCCTCCATCTGATCGATCGTGGTAGGCGAGTATAGGTTTCTTCGAATGTCGATGTAATTGAATACAGCCATTGATGAAACTTTTCAAGTGAGCGGCATCGACGTCAGGGGACTCATCTCCCAATTGATTGAAGACTTGTGCGATGGCAGATCCGCCACATCGACGCTTGCCGTTGGATAAATCCACTAACAGAAGAACTGAGGGTGTTGAGGTCTGTTTCAATTCAGGTGTCCAAGTACGCTCGACTGATTGAACTTCACTAAAGGCAGTCACTATCAATGATAATGGGGCAGTGACCTCCTGATCTTTTCCATCTTCATTCCATTTCATCTTCATCGACATTGAATCTTTGCCTACTGGGATACTGATGCCTAGATCAGGACAAAATTCCAACCCGACTAGCTTCAACCGCTTCAAACAACCTTGCACCGTCGTTACCATGGTTTGCTGAACACATCCAGTTTGCACTTAGTTTGACATGTTCAAGTGAGACGATATCAGAGGCGATCAAGTTTGTCAAGGATTCTGTTACTGCCATTCGAGCTGAGCTGGCAGCTGATATCAAACTTAAAGGTGAGCGTTCTCCCATAGCCATTGCCTCGCCTGTAATTACATCAAAGCCGTGGGCGGTACGCGTGACAGCTACATCGGCGACAGGAACCTGATATGGTCCGATCATCTGATCTCGCGTCACCAATCCGGTTACACTTCGATCTCCGATGGTAATCAGAAAGTTTTTACTACCAACGGATGGCAGCCTCAAGACTCGATTCAAACTCTCTTCAATGGCGTCAGTGACAGTCGCACCAGGTCGAAGATGGGCAGTGAATTCAAGAGGGGACAGTAATGGACGATCTGTCTTGGAAGATCGATTAATTTTTGGTGGCTTTCCGAACAGAGTGTGCATACTGAGATGAACTGGAGTATTGTTGAATAATCGATCAGTGACAATTAGTTCTTGAGTTTCAGTAGTGATACCAACAACTGAGTAAGGACATCGTTCTCGCTTGGCAATAGATTCAAAGGTCTTCAAAGCATTTTCATCGGGTGAGAGACCAATGACATATCGTTCTTGACTTTCATTGCACCAGATCTCCATAGGACTCATAGTTTCGTCATCGACATGAATGTCACGGATTTCAAACTTGCCACCCAGACCGCTATCGTGTACCAATTCAGGAAGCGCGTTGCTCAAGCCACCTGCACCAACATCGTGAATACTATCGATTGGATTGAGATCGGGGGGTAGATTGGCGCAAGAATCGATCACCTCTTGACATCGACGCTCAATTTCGGCATTCTCTCTCTGAACAGACGCAAAGTCAAGTTCAACTGAACTAGAACCTGATTGAATAGAAGAAGCAGCACCTCCACCTAAACCGATGAGCATCCCGGGTCCACCCGAAACTATGATTTTGGAGTTTGGCTTCAACTTGCGCTTCTGAATGAACTCAGGACGCACGTTTCCCAAGCCACCAGCAATCATGATAGGTTTGTGAAACCCTCGTACCTCAGTTGATTTAGTAGCTGACGAGGCGTTGGGTACGGTTAGGGCTGGAACTCGTTGAGAGAATGTACGGAAATAGCCACAGAGAGCAGGTCGACCGAATTCGTTATTGTAAGCGCTTGACCCGAGAGGAGCCTCTAACATGATATCAATACTACTAGCGATATGACCAGGTCTACCAAAGTCTTCTGTTTCCCAAGGTTGGATATGACCAGGGATCCGCAAATTAGAGACAGAGAATCCGGCTAGACCAGCCTTCGGCTTGGAGCCTCTACCCACAGCACCTTCGTCTCTGATCTCACCACCGGAGCCAGTTGCTGCACCTTCGTAGGGTGAAACTGCAGTTGGATGATTATGAGTTTCAACCTTGATGAGATAAGGCATTGGTTGAAGTCGAGATGAATATGATTGAGAATGTAGAGGTTCATCTGGGTTGTCCCGAAAGAGCGCAAAGCGAGGTGCGACAGGACCGTCTACAACCGCAGCATTATCGTGATAAGCAGAAAGAGTATGCGCAGGTTGCTTGGCATGTGTATTTCGAATCATTCCGAAAAGTGTTTGATCTTGGGAAACATCATTCAAGGTCCAATTGGCATTGAAGATTTTGTGTCGACAATGTTCAGAGTTGACTTGTGCGAACATAAAGAGCTCTACGTCTGTTGGATTACGCCTTGTGGTGCCTTCTTGACTGGCTTCAGAGGTGAAGGCATTAGCAAGATAGTCAACTTCATCGATTGCCAAAGCTAATCCAAGTTCCTGATTGGCACTTTGCAATTGAGTACGTGCAAAGTCAAGTTGAGATGATGAATTTCCACTTGAGTCCGTCTGAGAGAGTTCGATGGACTTTAATAATTTCCTTTCAAGATTTCCAGTATCATTGGTAGGTTGAGCAGATAGGAGGGTCGGTATACAGATCTGAGTCATTCTATCAGAGACCAAATGGCCAATTGAGTTGAGCCATTCGGTGTTGATCAATTTCTGGCTTCCATCAGCTGTGGTGAAAAGGAAAACTCCGATTCGTTCAATTCGAGTAACATGTTCCGAAAGTTTACAAATTCTAGCAATATCTGTTGCTTTTGAAGACCAAGGAGGAAGTGTACCAGGTCGTGAAGCGACCATGAACCCATTAGGTATCCGAGAGCCAATTGGTAATGAGAGTAACTCATGTAAACGTTGGCGTGTTTCCGGAAGAGCGTAATCTTCACCATAGTTCAATAGGCTTGACAGAATTTGAGAAACTGTCTCGGAAGGTGTAGAGAGTAGACTGGCGGATGATTCGGATGAGCTATGGATAAGATGAATCCATACGGAATCGATGGCTATGATTGATTGATCAACGGATTGGATTGATCTCAATAGTCTGGATCTTTGACTCGGGGAATGGATCGATGGACCTGGGAATAACAAGCGCTGTTAGAAGAGGAACAAATCAGGACCCAATTTGCCGATGCATGAGTTTATGTTAAGTCCTTGATCCACATACCATCTTTGAGTCAATCTACAATGACTTTTCTTAGAATTTCAATCGAGCCAAAACAATGATAATATCTGTACCCGAAGCCCAAATGCTGATGTTCCAGGAGCGGCAAGGTGCGAAATGAGTGATATATGAAAAGGAAGATTCCAATAGGCGCTTGGATTCGAAAAGAGCAACCTTCTATTGTTCTACAATTTTGGTTGGTGAAATGAAAGGAGTTCCCGTGAATTTTCTAATACCAACATGAGGATCAGTATATGTATTGCTTCTGGTATCATGGCTTTTCTTGAAGTGAGAGATGCCAACTCACGAATTGCTATTCAAACTTCGTGCACACTGCTTGGGATATGATATTGAATTCGTTGATTGCGTTCCAGTTTCAAATGATAGTTTGGGTTGATGTTAATGATTGAGGAATATGCTCATGAGCTCCTCAGCCAGCAAAGGTTCCGGTTTGTTCGATTGAAATTTTTGTCGGAGTCTGTCGGGGTGGTTGCATGTGAAATTGTCAAATACCAATCCGAAAGAGCCACAGGCATGTCACACGACTGCGGCCTGCAGTGACATCTCATGAAAATATTTCCCCCTTTAACATCAATCCACCCGGTCCACCCTCTTGAGTCTTGAACAGCATCATGATCCAAGAAAGTCGGGCAGTGTACCGCTTGTTTCTATTTGTTTAAGACTTGCTATCTACTTGAATTTCTGCTGGAAAATGTTCAACCCGCAAGAGAGCTTCTCCACATGGACATCCTGAAAAACATGACACAGGACCACGGAGGGTAAGCGGTGTCCTATAAGAGCTTGATCATCACTGCAGATTGCTATCAAATCGGATATTCTAGAGAAGCCATCGTGAGTTACATTGGGACTTTTTAAGAAAAGGGACACTTTTGAACTCTCTTTCTTCTATTGTCAATCCTCAAAACTGCAATTGTAGAACTTAACATCCTGTGTTCCAAAATTTCTTTTACACTCCTCAATTTTGAAAATGTAGAAAAGAGTGGAAGTGATTTTTTATACAGTCTTTTTGATATATATACAAGTAGGTTGCACAGCATCATTTTAGCGGGAAAAAACTATGCGACAAGGCAAGGCGAAAAGGGCAACTCGAAGAAGACTGGAGATGTACAAGGTTCATGTCTCACAGCCCAACTCGCCACAAGGATGATGCACTACCGTTCGGACAAAGGTATCTTTTTAGCCTCGTGCTTTATCATACCGCGTGTGCTGAAATCTGATGGCCTAAAAAGTAGTGTTCGTGGTATGAATGCATGAAAAGCACCCTGTGGTTGTAGATTGATGATGTCAGCGGTCATGTGAGAATATACGCGTCGTGAAGCCAAGTGTCTGCAACTTACATGGTCTCACCAAGTTGGCCGGCTCGGACAGAGGACATTGAAAATAGTGACTCGCTGCAGTGGTGTGGTCTGTGGTGGTGGTGTTATACCCCACGACATCTGACAATAGCCAGGACGATGAGGAAAAATATTGGATTTTAGCTCTCTAATTCCAATAAGCTTGCGACGGTAGATGCTTCAGGTGAAGAGGATAAGGTAGTAAAGAGTACACACCGACTCGAGGAGGCCATTCGGTTATGTTACCAATTGGCGCTTTTAGCTTCTCGATATAGTAAAATGAAGTGAGATGAACCACCATTACGTCGACTTGACCCGGGATCAGCTCCGAATCGCCCATAGTTGTAGAGTATTGCGAGCAATTCTTGAATGTTAATCCTCCCAAGGCCTCTGTTTTGGTAAAGAAAATTCGTGAGTAAACGCTTATCAAAAATCGTAACGGTTGAGCAAGAGGTTGAACGTACTGGCACTAGTGTTGTCCTTAGCCACATAGCACGAGTCTGTAACACAATTATAATGAAAGCCTCCAAAATTC